TACCTCAGCATCCCTCCTCAGTGCCTCAGCATCCTCCTCAGTACCCCTACACCCCTCTCTGTGCCCCAGCACCCCCTGCCCCAGCACCCCCTCCAGTGCCCCCGCACCTCCTCAGTGCCCCCCAACACCCCTCGGTACCCCAACACCCCCCCTCAGTACCCCCCTCAGTACCCCAGCACCCCCTCACCCCTCCCACCCCAGCACCCCCCCTCAGTACCCCCAACACCCCCCTCACTGCCTTCCAGATCTTTGTTGATACTGAAGGCTCCTGCACCTCGCACCAGCTCCACCCTTGAGTAGGAAAAAGCAGTGAGAGGTAATGGATGTGTTATATTTTTGTATGACGGAATTAACTCTTGTTGTGTGGGCCGCAACAGCTGATTAGCCACGAAGTTCATTATGTGTAGCGTGTTGAAGTCCACCCCTGTCCCGGTCCGCACCCCTGCCTACCCCCCTGCCCACACTCCTGCTTACCCCTGTCCCGATTCGTGCCTGCTTCCCCCTTGCCCCCGTCCGCACCCCTGCCTTCCCCCTGCCCCTTCCCACGCCTCCTACAACTGCAATAGAGGTTTTAAAGCGAAGTAGTAGTAGCAGCCATACGTAGGGGGAGCACCTGTAAGTGACACTGGGGGTGGTAGACTGGTAGTACCTGCACCTGACTCGCCACACTGTAACACCTCCATGGGCGTCGTCCCGAGGTTTGATCTACAGTGTGAGGTGGTGCTGAGTGATGCTAGAGTCAAATTCTACCTTTCCTGATCAGAGTTACACATCTATTTTATTTCTACCCGTGTCCTTGCCCTAGCTCAAATTAGGTCGATGTGGGGGTGATGGTAGGTAATGGTAGGTGGTGGTAGATAATGGTAGGTGGTGGTAGATGATGATAGATGATGATAGAGGTGGTGAGGCCAGACTTCCCCCCGTGGTGATAAGTGCCACCCCCCCCTCCCCTCATCGTTTTTCTCACTGGCTGTGGGTGAAGCTGACGGCAGATTACAAAATAATCCCCCTAATAGGTGAGGAACCCATTAATTACCCTTACCCTGGCAGTGTCGCCGTCTGTCACTGCCCCACAAATACATAAATTCCTGGCGCCAGTATTAAAGGTATGTGACTGACTGATACATAATGCAAATTGTTTATTGGGATAATGTTAGGCTGGAAGCATAATGTGACAGGAGACGAGAGCTGAACGATCTTTTATCACCTTAACACTGCCCTCATTAATGCCTATATACTTTCCAACACACTGCCTCATTAATTCGCCCATCACCCCATCTACTACTACCTTTTTTCACTCATTATTTTACTCCACCACTCATTTTACTACTCATTTCATCACTCACCACCACCACCCACCCATAATTGTTCAATGTTTACTTGCTATATGTAGTAAATTGTCGAGTACTCTAATTCTTGGCGTCCAATGGTGAATGAGTCACGTGGGCAAAAATTATACACTTGGAAGTTGATGTGTTGTAGCAGAGCAAGTGGGGCCAAAATAGGTTGTCGAGATGCACTTAAGTCTTGAGTGAGGTGGTGAGTGAGTGTATCTATATGTTGTAACCTGATCATAATCCAAGATGCTATGATTAAACGCCAATTGGGAAGGAAAGTTGAAATATATATCGGTGGTGAAGTGCGTGCAGAAGGCGGTGGTTGAGTGTGTTGGTGAAGGCGGGTGGTTGGAGGTGTTGGTGAAGGCGGGGTGGTTGAGGTTAGAAGATGGGTGACTGAGTGTTGGAGGTTGGTTGCATGTGTTTGGTGGTTGCGGTGGTTGGAGGTGTGTTGGTGGAGGTAGTGGTTGAGTGTTGGAGGTTGGTTGCATGTGTTGGTGGAGGCGGGTGGCTGCATCCCCACATGTTATCAGCAGGGCATCTTTAATATCGTATCACACACCCACTACAACCACCATCATACGCCACCATCACCTCCACCATCATACGCCGCCACCACCACCACCACCACCACACTACACGCCATGCTAACTTTTACTCACATCAGTACTACCTGGGATAACTTTTTATTTTATTTATTTTTTATGACGTTTTAAGCCATTGGGACAAGGGAGTGGGGAGAACTGAGGCAGGTATAGGATCTTTAGCAACACAAGCTCAGTGTTGGTGTTGCTTGCTCATGAGGCGAAACATGCAGGCTATTACCAGGGATTAATTAAAACTTAGTGGTGATATATTGTCTCTCTCTCTCCCCTCACGTGTAACTCCTATACCACCTCACCTCTCACCCTCGTCCCCATTGCAGCCTTCACCCCATTCGTGTCTCACATTCACACCTCTCACTCTCCTGCCCTGTTTCTAACACCACACACCTGCTATCCTCCACCTCGTCCTCCTCGACTCCTCGCCAGCTCCACCTCCTCAACATGGAGTGTAGCTAAGCACATTGAGTAGGATTCGCATAGACGAGGAGTAGGATGGGAGGCTGGTGGTAATGTGTAGTGTGTGGAAGTGTATAGTTCAAATGGTGGACGTGAGGAAGATGTGGAGGTGAGAGGTGAAGAGGTGACATAGGAGGAGAGGGGGGCCCACTGCAGTCTCTTTTAATGAATTACTTTATCCTTAACAATTGAAATTAATCTGAGAAGTAAAGTGAATCATCAGTCAGTATAGATTATTACCGTATACTCCTCCTTCAGTAATGTAGGTGTGTTGCTATAGGGTAATAAGTGGGTAGACATCACCTCCCCAGTCCTCACTTGACCCTTTTGGTAGGGTGGCTCCACGCCTCATGTCAATACATACACACCTGCCACTGACCCACGAACGTTCCAGTTCTGGCCTCAAGTACTACTCCACCACAGTACCATCTGCAAGTTGGTAGTTGGCCCTAATGAGCCTGTTAGTTTGGGAGGAAGATTGTCGGTATGTAGGTTATAACACTGATAATTCTAATAGAAAATAACTTTGAGGATATGACTCCAATTATAAATCTACTGAAAATGATATTTAATATTTTTACCCATTAAAATATGATTTGTAGGTATCGAGATTTAGAGTGTGGTCATTATACACAAAAGTAGACTATCGTGGAACATAAGAAATAAGGAGTCTGCAATAGACTTGGCCTGTGCATGGCAGTCCTGTCGAGAGTTAATACCACTTCCTATCATCCATGAATCTATCCAGCCTTTTGAAATCCTCCAGTGTTCCAGCACTTACTACAAAGTTGCACTTTGTTCCACTCTGTCCACTCAATTTGCGAACCAGTTCTTCCTATCTGGTCAGTGAGGAGAGTCAGCACTGACCAGGTATATACGTGATTAAAGTCCTTGGTCTGTGTAAGAATAAGAAAGGCTGAAATCCTGGTATGACCTGAGGTTGATGTTGCTCTGCTTGCTTAACACTCACGAGGCTGAATATATGTTACTGTGAGTGTGTGTATGAGGAGGGGGGGGGTGCTATGTCAGGATTCATCTTGTATTCGCATGTCCTGGTACTTTTTAGTGTCCTGTTACTAACATGTCTTGGTGCCACCATGTCCTACATCCCGTATCCTGTAACTCCCTTAACCTGGTGTGCCCCATGTCCCGGTAGTAGGTCCCTGTTCTGTTGTTACCCTAAGAATGAATGAATGGATGGAGAACACAACAGGACCTAAATGAAGGAGGCGACAAGACCTCTCACAGGGTAGGTGGAGAGTCGTAGTGAAGAAGAGGCCCCAGGCCCAGGTAACAGAGGCAGGTCGAGTTAAAGCTCCTGGCTCGAGTTTCTCACCTTCTCACGGTAATTATGTTTCTCCCATCTGTTGATAATGAGAAGACACACCTGGTTACCGTAGACTCGAGCTTATATTTCGATGGTAGAAAGTTGGCGGCTTGTTTATGTCGTGAGGTTGGTTGGAGGCGAGACGGCCCCTGGTAATGGGGGACTTTAAAATCTGTCTATGTTTAGTTTGTGGGTTTTAAGATCGGGGCCTACATTTGACTTGTGTCATCAGTCATTTTGCTCTTACATCAACCAGTTTGTGTTGTAACGTCACGTAGGTTTGTGTGTCGAAACATTTTAACACTTATTTTTTGCCAGAAAAATACAGACACAGAGTGTACAGTATAATAATAACAATATTGACACGGGTGAGCCAATTGAGAACCTGTGTGTGTGTGTGTGTGTGTGTGTGTGTGTGTGTGTGTGTGTGTGTGTTAACACGAGCGCTACCCGGAAGTGTTTAAAAGATTTTGTGATTTCCAACAAGTGTATAAAAAAAGATTCACACACACACACACACACACACACACACACACACACACACACACGAGTGAACGCAGCTTCCGCATCCTCTAAATTTATGAGTATCCAGCCCAGTGCCTCAGCCCACCACCAGGACTCTCTCTCACACACACACACACACACAATAACACAGGCATTACTTTCTTTCTTCATTTCTGCATCCAACAAGGGAAGAAAAATTGGATAAGTGACCAAGTGAATTAATGAGCGAGTACCATATACTCCAGGTAGGGCGGCGCCAAAATTCCAATATTGGCTCACAGGTTAAAGCGGAGTGTAGCGGTCATATAGGCTCGAACCACTATAACAAACATTGACTGCTGGCTCAGGATGGGTCCATTAAGACTGGGGAGGCCCAATTGACCAACCACGAAGGTATTGTTTCACCCTCCTCCCCATCTCCTCTCCCCTCTTCTCACCCCTCCCTCCTTTTTTCACCTTCTTCCCCTTTCTTCCTATCCCATCCCCCTCATTCCCTTCCCCTTCCTTCCTCATCTCTCCTCCTCCTCCCCTGACCCTCTTCTGATTTTCTTGTCTCTGCCCATTATGATGGTGGAGGAGGGGTATTGTCTACTTGTAGGAGGTGTTGGAACTGTATCTAAGTGGGGAATGATTCAGCCAACTCAGCAGACGAGTCAAACAATGCCTGAGGTAGTTCTGTATTCTGTAGTGAATAATTTATCATCAGTCGTTCTGCTCAGTGATTATTGACTGACTGAATGTTGAACTGCCTGACTAACTGACTCATTGACCTTACCAATTTGGTGGACTGCCTAACTGATCATTTGCTGGACTGCCTGATCTGACTGGTTTGCTGGATCTGCTCTGACTGACTGATGGCTGGACTGCTGACTGGTCGTTGCTAGATTGCTCGACTGGACTGGCTTGCTGGACGCTCTGACTGACAGGTTTGCTGACTGTTCGACTGACTGGACTGCCCGACTGACTGGTTTGCTGGACTGTTCGACTGACTGACTGGCTGGACTGTTCGACTGACTGGCTGGCTAGACTGTTTCGACTGATAGGGTTGGCCTGACTGGCTAACCGTCCAGATGGCCTGTTAATTATCCAGTAAATGAAGGTTGCAAGACATTAAGTAAAGATAATTGAAGTTCTTGTGGTGTGTGTGAAAATACGCTCAGAATGAACACACACACACACACACACACACACACACACTGGCCACATGGGGAGCATTACAGTAACATTAAGTGAAAATCGGGAAATTCTTCGTCACTGGTTTTAATAAATTTCACATTGATTTAACAAATTTCCGTCTCTAACAGTTCTAATACCACTCTAGTAAATTCTCGTTACAGGTTTACCTAATTCTTATCATTGGTTTAGCAAATTCTCAGCACTGGTTTAACAAATTCTCTTCACTGGTTTAACTAATTTTGTCTCTAGTAAAATAAATCCTGCTGTGAGTTTCTGCTCAGCTGTAAGTCAGTATTAGTCGTAGTTTCATGATCTCCTCCTCCTTTGATGAAATATTAACTTACATGTCAAATAAACATAAGTAGAATACACCTCGAATAAAAGACCCCAGTAATAACAGGCCCCAGGTATAGTAGGCCCCAGTCATAAAAGGCCTCAGGTATATCTGGCCCCAGAAATAGTAGGCCTTCAGATCTAATTTTGTCTGTATAAATCACGTGAAGATTGGGCAACCTAACCTATTTTGCACTTTAACTGAGGGGCTTTTGTCCTTGCTGGCATCATTTGTCTGGACTCCACGTGTCTGCCTGCCTTTGTCTGTCTGTTAACTGGTGGTCTGATGTTAATGAAACCCGTTGGCTGACGGGGTGGTGGTCAAGAGGGAATTTATTTGATTTTGTATTAAGAGTTTGTAGTGTGGTGGTGTGAGGGGGGGTGGGGATGAGGCCGAGGTTTGTTGTGTGTGTCGTGGTAGGGGTGTATGAGCAGAGGTCTGGTTGTGTAGTGGTGTCGGAGGTAGGCATGAGGCTAGAGGTCAAGTTGTAGTGTGAGGGGGGTGGTGGGGCCAGAGAGGTCAAGTTGTGTGGATGAGATGAGGGGTTAGAGTGGTACTTGTAACACAGAGGGCTACTTGTAACACTGATATATTGTAACACTGAGCACATACAGGCACCCCAGATCCTCCTGTATGCCAAATTAGGCTTAGAGGGGAGGGGGGGTGGCTGACCTGAGGATGGCCAACTCATGTCATTCTACGTAGATTTACAAAGGTTCCAGTAGGAAAGTTCCTGTAAGAGATACTAAGATTTAACTAAACGTAAACCCAAAAATGAACGTTCAAAATTGCTTAAACCTAGACTGTAATTATGATTTATCTATATCTACCAAAGTAACGATAAAATATAAATTATCCATTCAAATATTTTTCCTAAGGTTAGCTTGCCTGCCATGTATTGCAATGTTGGACAGGAGGCCAAATGGCACACAGCTATCAAAATGCTTGTGGGTTCAGTTGAAATTGATAACCTCATTAATTGGTGCAGCTTTGGTTGTCTTGTGAAATCATTTAACATTTAATAGTGTAACGACTAAAAGGTATATGGATATAAATTGGTTAACTTATATGACCTATTTTTATCAATTACCTTATATTTATAAACATTTACAAACCCTAACATTAAACCAACCACCAAATCGACTATGTATCCCAACACACACGTAGGTAACCACCAACCATTTGAAACCATGAAAGTATCTAAGAAAAAAAAGCAACTATATTGTTTCAATGTTTTATTTTAAATGTATTGTCGTAAGTCAATCATTTGTGTTTGTTATTATGTGTATTGCAACTTCGCTTATGATGGATAGTTAATGTGTGTGTGTAATGGTTACCTAACATCCTCAGTCTAATCCTTTTGCGAGATTCCTTGGAGTCATTTTGGGAGTTTTAATATGATGTAAATAAACACAGAGTTGCCACATCTCAAAACGCCCAGCTAATTAAACAGGTGTATGCAGACGACCGTGCTTTTAGGTTAGAATTTGTGACATTACTCGACGTCAAAGTTACCATTAACACCTGTGTAATTATTTTCTCTCCACGGAATTTATTTAAACTCCTCCGGGAATGGAAGAACCTCTGTTTGAATTAGTTTAGTCGCCGTTGATATATATATATTTTTTTCTGGAATGTCATTTACCCTCACCAGCGATGAAGAATTAGTGGTGTTGAATTTGCTACATTGTTCTTTTGTGTGGACTAAGCCATTTGGTAAAATTTATCTCTGAAAGGCCAGTAGATTAGCCGTATTAATATTTTATTATATTATTATTATTATTATTGTTAAGTGTATTATATATTATTATTATTTACTGTTGAATAGGTTGTGTATATTTTCACGGTGTGTGTAGTGTGTGTTTCTTAGGCTATAGTATGTGTGTAGACTAGTATAGAATTTATGGTGCGTGGATTGACACGCCACCCCACCTCAAGATGGTGTTATTGATTAGACAAATGCTGTCCAATACTAATGAGCCACAGTAAGAACCCAACCACTCATTAAGATGGAAGTCTTGTCCAAATGGTCTTAGTCTAATGGTAAGTGTTAAGCTGGGTTGGTGATGTTTATCTTGTTTAGGTTAGGGAGGTTTGTTAGGGTTGTTTGATTGTTGGTTAGGTAAGAAGGAATTGATAGGTTAGGATAGGTCTCATAAGGTCACAGAATCACAACCCCACAACACGTGACTTCACAGCTCTGTGATGTTTCTGTGCTTCGCCTTACACAGGATCTCAGGGGGGGTGCAGCCTCAATTAACTAGTATGGGGGGGGTGGGGAATCTGAATTTGAATCAGTGAATATAGAAACAAAGAGTTGAGACACGAAGGAGGATGGACCTACCGACACAATGCTTTAATTTCACCAGAGAGAGAGAGAGAGAGAGAGAGAGAGAGCGCGCGCAGAAGTAAGTTACTGAATAAATAACCTGCCATCCCAGTGTGGACGCCTCGGATGGAGTTGGATCGAACTTGTGGGTGAGATTCTAGCCACCAGACTAAATGTAGTGTAGCATAGACGCTTAATTACATGTTATCAGTCGAGAAACGAGAGGGGACAGTTGTTAAAAAAGAGACAAATTGATTTAAAATTCTTGTATATGGAAATCTGACGACGTTTAGGAGGACTGTGTGTGGTGGAGACTTTGAGGAGACCCTGTGTGGGAGACTGAGGACCCTGTGTGTGGTGGTACTGAGGAGGACCCTGTGTGTGGAGACTGAGAGAGGACCTGTGTGGTGGAGACTGAGAGGAGGACCCTGTGTCTGGTGGAGACTGAGAGGAGGACCTCAGGTCTGTGGAGACTGAGAGGAGGGACCGTGTGTGTGGTACTGAGAGAGGACTCCGTGGTGGAGACTGAGAGGAGGACCCTGGGTGTGTGTAGGGGTGGGAGACTGAGAGAGGACCCTGTGTGTGGAGACTGAGAGAGGACCGTCTGGTAGGGAGACTGGAGAGGAGGACCCTGTGTGTGGAGACTGAGAGGAGGACCCTGTGTGTGGTGGGGAGACTGAGAGGGACCCTGTGTGTGGTGGAGACTGAGAGGAGGACCCTGTGTGTGGTGGAGACTGAGAGAGACCCTGTGTGTGTGTGGGAGACCGAGAGAGGACCCTGTGTGTGGTGGAGACTGAGAGGAGGACCCTGTGTGTGGTGGAGACTGAGGTGAGGACCCTGTGTGTGTGTGAGACTGGCCCGGGACGTGGCTATATTAACAGGACGCTGATAAAGGCACGGTGAGCAGGTTACCATGGAGGGTTTGTTGGTGTCGCCTTTGTCCAATTTCCCCACTCTGTCTCCTCCTCCTCCTCATCCTCTTCTCCTGTTTTCTCTATCTTGCCCTCCTTCCGTCATCTCTTTCAATTCTTTTGTCTGTTTTCATCCCTTTCACTTTACATCTTTATAATCTGTAGTCTTATATTTATTTTTCATTTCCATCGTCTGTCTTTGAGTGACACCAACACGATAACGTCCGACAGCTGCCAACTTTACATCTTCTTTCTCCCCATTCCCCATCTACATTATGGTGGAGTTCCCTGATAAGAGGCCTTAAGGACCCTCCTCCCTAATATGAGAGTGTCTGGCGGCTCAATTGCAGGCCTGACATAATTTGATAAAATGCTCACTAATATCGCTAGACGCTTTAAAATGTTCCCTCGTTTACCGCAAGTTTATTTTGTTATAATGTGGTTTAGAATAAGTGAGTTTGTACCAGATTTACAGTAAGTATGAGTTCTATGTGAGTGTGTGCGTAACCTTTATTTGGGACTCATAACTGAGCATAATATTTATCCCACTATGAGGTAAACTGACCAAGTACATCCTGCTAACACACGTCATTACTACTAATGTTATACAGCATAAATAGCACAAAAGCACGTTCACTGACACAAAACCAATATGTGCCATGTTAAGTCAGTACTTATGTTATTGAAGAATGAAGAGTTTCCAATATTGGCTTTTGGTCGCCGTTCCGGCATACATAACCCGCAATAGCTTCTAATAGTCACACAACTATTGGTGATCCAGCTTTACAGCTGCCAATAGGTCATCATTAACTTACTGTGCCCGGCCACGGTTTCGGTATATGAACACCTTAGGTTATAGAGGTATATTTTGACTGGGTGTGTGTGTTCCATCCGCCATAATTTTAATACCACCAATGATAAATTTTCATAGTGTATGTTGGGATAACCAAAGAAGAATCTCCACTCTGGCTTATTTCACCTAAAGAGCTTAACTTACTGTTTATCCAATCCCAACTAAACCCTTCATCTCCCCAAATAGCGTTAGGGAGGGAAGCAGAGGTAGGCAGAGAGTGAGGGAGGGAAAGAGGATGGGTTGAGGAGGACAGGGGCAGAGACTGTAGGATGTCCTTGATAGAAGAAGATCCCAGTGGTAAGTATTATGTGAGGGTGGGAGGAGGTGACCACGCCTGTTTAACCCCATTTATTGTATGTCGGTCATCAATTGAGAGTATGGAGGTGTGGTCGGCCCTATATCGCCACACGACAGCCCTCCCATACTAATGGCGTTCTGACAGGCATGTGTTGCAAAGAGAGAAAGGTTAGTA